ATACGGCTCAAAATGCAACCAACTAAACCCTCGACTACCCTCTTCACCAGCTAGGTGTAGGAAAACAGGCTTGAATTAGATGTGAAGGTCGATGATGTAAAAATTCCGACTGTAAACTACCCAAAGATTTTGGGAGTAACATTAGATAGCCTGTACTCCTTCACTCCGCATGCGAACGCAATTGCCGCAAAACTCCAGAGCCGCAACAAAATACTCAAAGCGTTAGGCTGTTACACCGATCTGGGCACCGGGTATGATGATATATACTTCAGGACCGCAATAGCATAATTCTTTGCTGTGCATGCATCTAATAGAAGCAGAAAGGCAGTTCTAGACATGAAGGATACCATCCAGCTACATGTGCAAGCCCTGAACGCCATCCACCAGGAGTCAGTTAACACCTTCAAAGACTCCCTCCCTGTGAATGGCATCACCTATCGCAGACAACGAGCTCCAGCTGCCTCGAAACGCGTGACACTGGCATAACTTAGATGTGGATACTGAAGCAGATTAAACTTCTACCAACATACCTATCGCATGTTCTGCATTTGCAGAGTTTCCGCTCGACACTAATCACCTCTTCACATGCCCTCTTAAGCCGACACAACTCACCCCTCTCTCCCTCTGGTCTGATTCCGTCGAAACAGCACGTTTCCAGTAGAGGAGCAGTGGGTGAGGCATCAGCAGACCCATATACATGCAAAAGTATGTTGGCTTGCACTTGGTGCCTTTCAGTATTGCTCACGCTCTGGCTCTTCGTAGGGATTTTTAAGTCAATACTTTTCAAACCAAGACTTAGAGTGGTAGAGTGCTACGGAAAGGACACCTATTTGAGTGAGCTGATAAGGGTCTCTGGTCATCATAATCAGCTCCACAACCCGTTGAGGGACTTTGCTTGCTGCGACTTAATTAACTTTGCAATTATTTCTGTCCTTTACTTTCGTGCGCCAGCGTCGTAGCTCCAGCACATCAGCATCCTGATCCACACCATCACTCCATCTAAGCTTGGGTCTCCCTCTGCTCCTAGTATTGCTGTATCCGCCCAGTAGAATTTTAGGTGGATAGATCAGGTCGGCGCAGATACTACGGCCAGAGCAACCCGTTTGAGTATACTGGAAATGATCGGTGGACACTTGATAACCAGCAACACTGGCGAACCTCAATAACACTATCTGCAATTTTCAATACGACTATGAATATACACTAACCACTCGCAAGAAACATCTGAAAATAGAGCAAAAATACAATTGAGGAGACTGATTTTCTGCAACACCTCTTAGAGCTATATCTGGTGCAGAAAGATGAATCAAGGAGAAAAGACACAGGTCCTCAGACATTGTAGTTTAGTGCGCCAAAAAACGTATAATGCGCAAGCCAATACGGTATCATCCAAGCCGAGATACCTAGCATGGGCCAGGCACACGCATTTCCCATTCCTATGTAGACAGCCAAGTGGCCATACGGTCTATCTTCATCCATGGAAATTGGAAGTTCACATTTATTGGCTACCTTAGCAAATGGGTATGGAAGATAAGGGGGCAGCTGATTAACTGAATGAATGAAGCAGTTTGATATGTACAGGACACAGCAGTACAGTGATAGAGCTGACAGTTGCCCGACCACACATTATCTTCAAACCAGTTGTATACTAGTTCATTTAGGCATGTTGAATTTCTACTTCACCAAAAAAAGTCACAAAAATACATAAATTAAAATTGAGTTTGCTGGCAGCCGGCTGCGGCGTGAACCTCACGCACCACAGTGAAGACCTCTAACCACTCGGCTATCGTTATGATGTAGAGAGCAATGAAATCTGCGAGGTTCAACAGAAATTTTTAGGAAATGAAACTCATCGGTAGCGTACGTAATGACGAATTGGTAAAAGTTTCTGGCTTACCAGAAATTGAAAAAAAAAAAATTAAAAATTAATTTGCCTGCAGTGGGATTCGAACAAACGATCCCGAGGCGCTGCAGCGATAACCTCTAACCAGTCTTCTATCATGACGATGTAACGATTAACGTCAGGGTTACCATAGTCAGGAACAGATGATAATTGCTCTATGCGAGGTCCGGATTATAAAACTGGACACTCCAGTAGAGCGAAACTGAAAATGGATCGAGATGTGTGGACAGTGGTGGAAATTTCATAACTCCCTGGTTACTGGGTAATTGCTTTACAAATATTCAACTGATATAATTTCATCTTCAAGATGTCAGAGTCTGACTAGAATACTTCCATACCAGTTTGAATTTTTCCTACAGGGATGGTATGTATTTGTATGTATGTGCTCGTATGCATTGTGATAGTGAAAGTTTGTAGAATCACAAAACTTGATGCTGATTTTATAACATTCATTGTAGGAGTTGTTGTTGCGATTGTTGCATTTGTTGTTATTGTTATGCCAGTTGTTTGTGCTTTTTATTGAAAGAGGAAGTTGCAGACCTACTTATGGCAAAAGTTTGTTATTCATTTCACGAAGCATATACATATACGCACACAGCCATACATACATACACAGTAGAAGTTACCATTGCAGTCGCAGTTTAGTGTTGGAGTTTTTTTGCTGTCGTTGTTGTTGCGTACTTTTTGATTTTCTCCACAAATAGACGAAGAATCTCTGAGAATCTGTATGTATGTGCTCGAATGTGGGTGTTGGGGTGTGGGTGTTTGTGTTGAAGGTGTTTTCTGCGCTTATCAGCGTGGCAGACAAGTCTGAGACGTTTAATTGTCGTTTTAATGCTTTTGTTTGTCTGCAACTTAAAAGTTGGAAGAAAAAAACTTTCACCGAAAAGTCACCTTGAAGCTAAATAAAAATACCTAAAATTGCTGCTAGAAAAGTTTAAGTAGGAAAAGATATAACATACATACATACATACATATGTACATAGAAAACTTCATATTTTATTATTTCGCTGGGTGAAAAATTAAAATTAAAAAAATTAAGTTTTTTTCGTTTTTAAATAGAAAATAACACAGAAAAAACCAAAACTCTTTTGTCGCATGGAATTTGGTGTCTATTCTTTCCTAATTTGAGGGGTGTTTAGGCCAATATGACCATTTTGAGGCCATGCCTTCACCTTTTCAAACGTTCGAATCCTATAAAAGCATCCTGTGCATGTTTTAATGTGAATCGGAGGGTTCCTTATCTCTCTGGTTCGTCTGCCAAGGAATTGCCTGGGATTTCACTGTGGGCGGGTACTCAAACCACGGCAGTGCTGTATTTACTTGAGAGTTTGTTCAGATTGTTTCTCCACTTGAACAACCCCCTGGCGGCTTCAATGATTGCAAACAATTTTACCTGGAAGACGCTAATGTGGTCTGGTAGTCTCATGGTCATATTTATTTAGAGCATTGGAGAATGGATTCCAAAACCCACTTTTTCATCTACAGAGATTGCTTTCGCTTCCGGATCGGGAAAGTTTGTGTTTTTCCATTCATTTCTGTTTGGAACTCTCGTATTTTATTTAACTTACTTTGGACGTACCAGGAGTTGAATGCGGGCCTTCCGAATGCTAACCACTCGGTTACCGCGGTCGTCACCAATCTAATTGCGTTGACTTAAAAGGAGGCGGCTGGTGCCTACTGGTATGTAGAACTATTTCGGGCTTACATCCAACTGTCCTTGCACCAGTTCCTTACTATGTATAGAGCATTTTGGAGCAGATCACTTATAGTTTGTCTGGTGATACTGTCGCAGTCCATCTCTCCTTTTGGAATAAGTATTACTTAAGCTCTAGTCCAAGCTTGGGGGATGTGTGCTTCACACAGACAGGCTTTGTAAATTTTACATAAAAGTTGGATTGAGATGTCTCCAGCTCTCTGTAGTCCAGCGGAGGAGATATCATCTATATCTGGAGATTTAAAATGTTGGAATGACCTTGCCGTCCACTACCCCATCTGTGAAATAAAATATTCCTGACATCAGAGATATTTTCGCAGTCTGTGCAACATCCCGGAAAAATGATGCTGGAACGTTGAGGTCTACCTCAGGCAAAAGCCATGAAACGCTAAAAAATTTAACTACGAGCAATGCGCATAATATTTCTTTACGGCTTGCGAGATGATGAAGCTTTAGGAAGATTTTTCCTTGAGTTGCAACGGTTTTTTGGAGCAGCATCGAAATCTCTGAAAGCTGGAATATTGTTACCATATGACCTAGTCATTACAACCGCTGTTCCTTGATTCTCTGAACTATTTCCCTCTATATTTCGTACAGCCGTACAGCTCATCGTTCCATCGTCTGCGATGTTAGCCGTTCCCAACTCCAATGTCCGACTCATCCAAACTCCGACTCATCCAAACTCCGACTCATCCTAACTCCGACTCATCAGATGTTGACGAGAGCACTGACTGACTTGTAGAGTTTGGTTTTCGTTCGTCCAAAGAGAACTTAAAATGCCTACTCAGTCCAAAGTCCCACCTGTTGGCTAGATTAATTTTGCTTTGGATTTCAAGACTGATATTGTTGTGTTTTCCAAGATAGTTGAAGTAATCTACAACTTCAAAGTTATGACTGTCAACAGCGATGACTGTTTGTTTATGACAACAGACTTTCGTCCTTATCTAGCCTAGAGAGCAGAACTCACCATCGGTGTACGTCAGTAGTTCCTTAATTTGAGCATAGATAAACTTGAAGCAGGAACTTTTGAGGATCCACAAATAAGAAGTTTGATGAAGGAGGGACGTAAATAGTGTCATTGCAAGGCTCACTCACACGTTGTCAGACATTGTTGGGGCATCAAGAACAACCCTCATAAATCGAGGAAAGTAAATAATTTTATAAAGATAAAACTTTCGATAAGTACTGCTTGGTTTTCTTAATAAAAACTAGTTTTTTCAGCTCTGAAATCTGCACACCGAAATATAGTTTTAATAACAATATTTCTTGCAACAAAAATGCTTGTCCCATGCGACAGATTTTTGTTAATTTACGGAAATAAATTCGTAAATTATTTGTCTTTTATTAATAATATTACACTTTATTTCAATAATTGGCTTACATTTTACCTAAAAATTAATTATGTTAGCTTAAAATAATATACATAAACCTCGCCTCGTTTTTTGCCTAATTTCCTATGAAGCTGAACGTCTCATTACAGCGTATCTCATAGCAATCGGGAAACGAAGTGAAGTGTCTCGATAATCGTAAATCGAATATGAATTCGCAGTATGGGAATCTGGAAGAGAAATGCTTAATATGAATAAAACTTAATTATGTTTTTTTTATTTAATTTTTAGGCAAACATTTCAGCTTTCTATTCAATAATTTTTTCTTTTTTAAATTTATTATCAGAAGGTTAGGACATTCGTTGACGTGACCGAGTCAACTTCATCATATTTATATTAACAAAAAATCCAGAGAGGAAATGCAGCAGCCCTAGATCATAGATCCGCAGCGGCCTTCATCGACGGCCCTAAACTAGATGACAAAGTAATTTGTGAAATTTACTCTATAACTCCTTCTGTTAACGGAAGCCGCCTCGTGGTTACCAGTTTTTATTAAGGCAGCCAGACTGCCATTAGGTCTCTCCAATGCGATCATACCACCTCAACGGTGGCAATAAAATCCAGAAAGATCTTAAACAAACTCTCGACTGTATGCAAAACGCCTGTGGCTTGGGTCAGCGAACTGCCAGAATGGGAGCAGTCTTAGCCACAAAAAACTCTGCACATGACTTGGGTATACCGCTTTCCTCAGCAGTATCTTCTAAGGCTAGGCTTCACCGTAAGAGCCAACAGCAGATGCCCAAGAGCAATATGACAAGACAAATCTGGCCATTAATCGAGGTAAACAGAACTAAGTCTCTACTACTCCTAAACTGAACCTCCCGCTATAAGCATAACAAGCAGACACTATCTTATTTGGACTCGTGGTAAAAGGATGCCTCTCAAACAATTTCTTGTCGCAGGAACATAGATGAGGAGTAATCGGTGGAACACAACCTCTGTCACTGCCCAGGTCTCAGTGTGGGCAGTAGGAGGGTGAAAAGCCGTTTACATTCGCAGGAAAATGGAATCCATTAACAAGCGCGAAGTTAATAAACTTGGATATACTACAGGTAGTGCCCGAAAGTGGAAATTCAACGGTAGCTTTAGCTCTCAGACGAGCCAAAAAAAAAACACAGATGTGTAGCGCTCAACAGCTGGTACTGACCGCAAAACCCGGCCGAATCACTACTAGGGCTAAACCTGAAATAAATATAAATCAGCAAAAAACCGAAAACAGGCTTAATTTTCCGGATCAAAAATAAGAAACCCCACTGCTCCTGCATAGTCAGGTACTTATGGTAAAAGCAGGACTTCTAGACGCTCAATAAGTCTCTCAAAGTCGTTTGCCCGTATTACCCATCCATCCAACTAAACCATCGTCGCTGCTAGAGACTCGAATAGAGTACATCATCTGAGCAGAAGACTTTACTACTTTCGGCGCTTAGTGATGGTCTTAAGGGCTTCTTCTTTATGTCATCTACAGACGGACCTATTTCCCAGATAGATACTGCTTGATACAAGAAGGCAATATTTAGACTGTCCATCAACTCTGTTGAATACGTCGCAGCCATTGGATCAATGGTAGAGAGTCTTTCGAACATGTTTGACAACAACAAGCCACGACTTTTTTGTGGCGAAATAGTCCCAAAACTCGTCTCTTTGTCAGAGAGAGGGTGGCTGTAATGTCAAAGGAGTCTATTTAAAGAATGCTGGGCAAAAAAAACCTGGCCATTGAAGACGTATCAGTGTGAAGTATTGCATCGGGCCGGCCTAAGGAAGGAGCTGTCATAGTGTTGGGTATCGATCAGATGTCCTATGCATTTATTGAATCCGTTTGTTATAGAGCTAACCTTCTCTTTCTTCTCTACCATCCAGTTCAGAGCGGGCCTCGTCATAAGGCAAACAAACTTCGGCAGGAGAAACGAACTATTCACAAACGCTTAGTTGGCATTCACGGGGAAGCCGAGTGAGCATACTCAATGGCTACACTTAAATTATTAAATTGATTATTGATTTTTGTAAGAGCCAAAATTTTAACTTGGACTTAACACCTATAACATACACACATGCATAGATATATATCGTTTTATTTTAATTTCTCTAATAACTTACACGGGTGGGAACCACAACATGCAACGATATGTGCACAGTATTCCAATGGGTCGCTTGAATTCGCCATCTGGCGTTTGTATGGAACCGGAATTATGCTTCCTCCAGCATTGAGCGCTCCATCCTAGGATTTGATTTTAATTACCGAATTTTAATAAAAAAATAAATAAGAGTAAATAATTTAATTTGATTTAATTTAGTTTGTTTATATTTGAGTTTATTGTAACTTTTATATAATATGACTAGCGTTCTGAGTAAATGCATATACAGGGTTATCCATTTTGCAGTTTCGTAAGTAAACGTATAAAAAATGCACTTAAAATTCTTTTTTTTCTAAGAAATTCCTTCTTTGATATAAATTTTGGACCTTAGTATTGTATGTATGCGAAGCCCGACATCCTTCATATGACCATTTTCATAATTTTTGCAATTCTGGATCGGTTTGAGGTAATTTCCGATCATCAAGTAATAGATACATTCGGATCTTTTGCTATACTATCGTTTACCGTAGCGATTTGCGAGGTGAAACGAGCGAAATGTTTATACATAGACTTTAATATATACATAACCGATCCATTCTTCTCATATTTCTTTCAAATTATGTCAAGTACTTGAGTAGTCCTCCTCTTAAAGCAGGAATCGTGGCCGTTTGAATAACCATTTTTAGAGCAGGTTTTAAGGCTGTAGTCTGCTTTAGAGACTTCAGATATCCATTTCGTTTTTGTTTTGTTAAATCTATTCTAAAACTCTCCAAGAATATGTTTTCCAAATTTCAGTAGTCAATTCGCCATACCTTTGAAGCAAGAGCAGTTTTAGTGGCCGCATGTCGAGCAGGTTCGAATGCTCGACGGAAAACTTTTAAGCAGGTTTTCTCGTGTCTTAGAAAACGGTGCCGGTAATAGCATGAAAAATATACATATATACATCCGATCGAAAAAAAAATCAAAGTGAACTTGCTTCAGTATTAAATTATCTTCCATTTTAAATGTAAAAAAGTTAGACAAAAGAGATCTAATCCATGATACGAAAAAGGAACCCAGTTTCACTCAATATAAAATTTGATAGAAAGAAAGTTTTTTGAAATTACATTTTATTTTAATTTTAACTTCAAGACATTGCCACTTTAAAAGTATTTCATTTATGTTTTTAAAAAAAAAATTAATCTTACTTCCATTAGATTTCAGAAAATATCATGCGTTTTTTTTAGCGCGTAATTTTTTTTTTTACAAAGCAAAAGTTTAATTTTTTGTAATAAATTTTATTGGTTTAAAAAGTTGAAAATTTATTTTTTAAGACATGAAATTGGGAGCACAAAAATAAAGTAAAGAAAATAAAAAAAATTATGAGTGAAATTAAATACGTTGTTTTTTGTACCATGATTTAAATTTTTTTTTCTCAAAAAACTTATTTTTTTTTTTTAGTTTCAACAAAAAAAATTGTAATTTTTCTACTTAGTCGGCATTTTTTTAGTTCATATAGAAGAGACGCCCATATATAAAAAAAAAAAATTTTTGGTTGGACTGTTTCATATGCATCGAACCAATTGCAACGCCAGCACCGTTTCACGAGTTCAGATTGCAGCCGCTTCAGAAAACTTATCACAACATTTTTGATACTAAAAACTGCTTTTAAAATTTGAAATATAGTACATTATTGTCTGAAAATTTTGTTCATCGCAATAATTTCCTTTCCTTTAAAAACACATGTTGCAAAGAAAGTTTTTTCTTGAGCTCTGAAAGAGACTAAACAATTTTAAGGCGTTGTGCCGCTTTTAAGCGATCCATATTCATAAATGCCTGATTTTTAACTACAATATAACAAAAATTTTTAATTTGACAGTTTAGTTTGACGGCTCTCACAATACAGCGCTTTACAATACTTTTGAAAACACAAAATGGTTAGCCCTATGTAAGGTAAAATTAAAATTTTATTTTTTGTATTTTTATTTTTTTTTTATATTTAAGTTTTTTTTAACATGCATCATTCAATTCATGTATGTTTATATTTTTTGTTTTTTTTTTGTTTTTTTTTTTTTTGTTTCATTTAATTTTGACACTGCCAGCTCCAACACATACCCGCTTCAATGGCTTCCATAAAAATGCATAAAATCAATATTATCACACCGAGTAAATAAACAAAACGCCGAATTTTACCCATAATTTCGTTATAAATAATCTCACGTTAAATGCGTATTTCGTATTACGCAAAAAAACGAAAACATGATTTTAAAAAATAAAAAAAAAAAATGAAATATAATTTTTTTTCACAATTTTATATCATGCGAGAAAAATGTTTATTAAAAAAATCCGACTTCCTCGCTCTGATGCATTTATTTGCGCGTCTATCGTAAGACTAAATGAATGTTCAACTTGTGTTTCTATCACGAATATTATTTGATATATGAATAATTTGTCGCTGAAAGCCTAAAAAATTCCTTTCTTTCATTTCAAATTCTTTGTGAAATTGACTTGAGACGCAGTTGTTTGTGGTCAATTGATAAATTGGGCACTTTGTTGGGAATTAATGTGCACAAGTGTCGCGATTCGTGGGTGGTTCATGGGTGGTGATGCATACATATGTATATATAAGCAAAGATACATATATATCTATATATTTAAATAAATATATTTGTGCTTGCTTTATCATATGACATAGTTGAGCTATTGATAGTTTTATATACATATATACACTATATGTACTTGACACCTTTATCCGATTATGTTATTGTTGCTTTTTTTTTGTTCGTTGTATTTTATAATAAATTTTATGCTAATTTATTTATTTACTTTTTGTTCACTTATGTATGTAGGCATCTGAAATAAACAAGGTTGTTTATATGTACACAAAGAAAACCTGGAGAATACACATTTTTATTTATGCCCTTCTTGAGCTTAAGATTCTCCTAACACTCTGCTTTGAGCGCTTTGATTTTGAGGATCGCATGAAGAGGTGTAACAGTATTCACGACTTGCGACTACCTCTCAATCAAGTACTAAACCACTTCACCCGCGGAACTATCAACGAAGTATTACTTTACGGGGCCGGTACGGATTAGCGCTCTCGCATTTTAGCATCATACTTTCAGAACATCATGAAACATCATGAGCTCATTAATTAATTGGACCTTACTTTTTCGAAAATGAGGCTACCCAAGCTAACGTTGCTTTGGGATCTCAAAGAAGGAATTAGTGTGGCTATTGGGGACATACAGTAGCCACTTTACGAGTTTGTGATAAGAAATTTTATAAAAGGGAAACGGTTCTGTAAGCGTAACCGTGGCGTATATTTGGCTGATGTTATTTTCCATTATTACTGGCATATCTTCTATACTATTGCGGGCAGAGAGTATTAGTTTCTGGTCGAAAGGCCTTGTTATGATCCATATTCTCGTCAAAAACAGCTTCTTAAATTGGCGTTGTCTCAGCTCCGCTCCACTGTTATGTTATTAAGTGTGGCCAGAAAGGACGAGTTTCTGATCCAACTTAGTTTGGCAGCTTCTATAGTTGTCGGTCGGTCTATGCTAATCTTGAAAAAGGCTTTTCGTTATTTAAAAATTCTTTAAAAATCATTGCTTTCAGTAGGCTTTAGGGAGTCAATTTCCCTCCTGCTCACGGAGACGAATCCTACCTTTGCTTTCACTCATTTACATATGCTTTGTTGCATGATTTCTACTGAACATCTTACTGACAGCAGGTTTGCGATTTCCTCTGAAACTTTTACGAACGCACTACATACCCTTAGCGACACCGATCTATGTACCGCAACTGGTGCTCTCAGATACGACGGTATCAGCCCAGATTGGTGCCGCATATGTTAGGATGAACGAACTAATAACGCTCACAAGTAATTTCCTTCGATTTTGGCCTTAGTCGCCAATATTTGGGTATGTATCTTGCATTAGCCGCACTGACTTTTCTCGATTTCTCGCTAGCGCATTTTAAATGCTCCTTGAAGCTAAGTCGGCGATGAAGAATTACTATGAACCTATTCTCACTTGTCATTAGAAGAGCCCTCTACGAAACAAAACAAGTCTGTTAACTCCAGTCCCGCTATCAAAAGCCACGTTTCACGAATTCTATAGTTACAATGCATATAGAAGCTCTGAGTCGTATTGAAAAGAGAGGGAGGCTTAGGGAAGCTACATCGACAGATCCAATTTGAAACGAGCCAAAAGAATTTTTTTCAATTTTGATCACGACCCCTGCAAAACAACTAATTACTATGATTAGAGGGCATGCATCGGGAAGGTCTGATTCCTTAATTGGGATTGTACCCCTGCCCAGATGTTTAGAGTGCAATTAAGACTAAGAGTTGACTGCACCGTGCTCCAAGACATGCGATAGATGAGACCAAAATAGAAAAGCGTAAATCTTTGGAAATATACTACAACGGTCATTTCTGTCCTAGGTTACTAACGTTAAAGAATGACTTGGCAAGATCCGTGTTAGAACGAGTTCTTCCAACATATTGCCCACGACTCGATGGAACAAAGGAAGTGGTGTTCAAAAATAACATCAATTATCTCCTCGGACGCCCGTGATCCCAATCCCCGCCATGATGTCGCAACCATGTTTGCCGATTTTAGCGCGAGAGAGGGCAAAGAAGGTATTTTTTTCTCAAAAGTCCGACGAAAGCAGGACGAAAATGACAAACGATCTCTAGAGTCTTTGTAGGTTTCAAATGTCAACTCAGTAGATGCTCAAGCTGGTTCTAATGTAAACGAAATCAACTAAGACTTCAAAATAACGACTGTCAAAAGCTACAGACAGAATACGTCTACTGTGTCGCTACTTCGTTGGCTTGTCTCGTCTGGAGAAAGCAACGCAATCGACTTGGGGCAATCGGACTATGGTAGCCATATATATTGTACTATACCACACTTCAGAAGACTTAAAGGGAACACTTTCATGCATCATATCAGTTGCTCGCCGTGGTATTTGAATAGCTTAGTTAGTTAAAAAAAGCGGCTTCCGATGTTGTCTTGTTCTCTAAATATCCAATCTTCCTTTTAGATCAACTGTTCCTTGGACCGGATGGAAAATTAAATGGATGTGAGTACTAACGGCTTTCTATCTTTCAGAGAGATTGGAATGCCATCCCGCAGTTCTTTCATAACTAGATATTGACGAATGCTCGCAGAGATCAGCAGAGTCAGTCCAGTAGATAAACTGTGCAGTTGTCCGATGTGATTGCAATTTTTAGACGTCAAGCCAGTGAGCACGATCTATATAAGTACCTCGGAGAGTTCACAAGTTGTTCAGGATCTGTATATTCAACAGTCTGTTATAGCTAGAGCTTATAGTAGCCATAAAAACCGCTGACAAGCTGTTCAGGTCTACGTTCACACGGCAATTATTTTCAATATATTCGGACTACGTTGCCGCTATACAACATCAGAAGTGGCAATAAAATGAAGATGTGTTCTGAACATACTCCGAGGATCAATTCTAAATGCTATAAACCATGGAAATGGTGCCCGTGACATCAAACTAGATAAATATGGCCGACGTTATTGTAAGACATACTAAGTGGTTCGTGCAATCCAGATTTTGTTAGGAACCTCACAGCGGTATTACAAGAGAGTCAATTAATGAAGATTAAGTCATGAAGATTATATATTTCGACTCTATGCGAAAGTGAGTTTCACCTATATCATCCAGCGATATCACTTTCTTCACCCATTTGGAAACTTTCTATCTTTACCAATTCGCACGGGACCAATATATTTTGGTTTTTTTGCGGTATAGAAAAAACCCCTTAAACCGGATAAGAAAATTTGTCATTTCATATTTCAAAACTTATCCCAATCCAGAAGCTCACAACATAAATTATATCAAGGACCAACCAAAGCACCCATTAACTCTCGACAATAATTGCTGCTACACACATACATACATATGTATGTTAATATATGTGCTTTTCTTCTACGTAATTTACCGCACGCAGTCCAATCCATTTTCACTCGCCTAAGAGAAGAGGCGACATGTCGAGACAAAGCCGCAACCCGCGGGCAGTTGGCGTGTTCGAATGCACTTTTGTCTCCACAAATGGCATCAAAACTAAATAATCAACAACAGTTACAACAACAACAAAAACAACAACAACAACATGTAAATTAAAATTGAAATGAAAATTCTAAGGCGAGGTTTAATTAGTTAAAATAAAGGCGATTGGCCAAAGAAACAATAACAACAAAACGGAAACAATGAAAAAGAAAGTAAAACAAAGAAAAGCAACAGAAGAATAACAAAAAAAAAATCAAGTAATTCCGCAATTGCTACAAAACCAATGGCAACAACTATTTAAAGCAATAATACTCGCATGCGACGCAGGAAGTGTGTGGTCGGTGGAAAATATAGTTCGCGGCCGCAATACGCGACAGGGAGGCAGCGAACGCAACCAATAGACTGCAGACTAAGTAGACAAAAGGCGCAGACAGACGGCGTTTGCAGACAGCACGCTGCCACTAGCAAACGCAATGTGTTGCATCAACTGACAGAGAAGTGTGACAAAATGGCAGTAAAGTAGTAGACGAGGAAAGCCAACATAGGAAAAATAAGATAGGGAAAGGTAGGCAGGCAGGCAGTCGGACAGAGACGCAGCCACAAGACCTTTTGAAGCGCTACGAAGGGTTAGGCGGATTTGTCTAGGTGCCATTGCTGCTGCTCGCTGCTGCAGGCGTTGGCTGGGAGTGAGTGTTAATGGACGCCAATAAAATGACAGACGAGGTGACAACAAAAATCGAGAAAACAATAACAAGAAAACATAAAAAACGACAACAACAAAAACACGTAGCACAAAAATACAAACAAAATTAAAAAAATCTCACTGAAATGAGCTCGATGTGTCGAAGGCTGTGGACGGAGAGTGGCATGGCAGATTGTCTTTGCAGCAGCGTAAGCGAATTGACAATAAAAGTTAATGTTGCAGCCTAAGCGGAACACGCAATTAGTAAAATTAATTGGTTAATGCACATACATATACATGCACATATGCTGCAGACAGACTTTTTCCCTGCGCAGGTAGCAGAGTGCAGGATTTACGCGTTCATGCATGAGTGTGTATGTGATAATATTCAAGTAAATGAACAATTTTGGTGTAGCAGTTTTTAATGAAATGGAAAATTTAAGTTTCATACAGAAATTTAATGAGAAATATATTTTATAATTAAAAAAATAAGTTTTTAAATATTAAATTTATAAATCGATATACATATCTATGTATGTGTGAAGATAAAAACATACATTCTACGAAGAACTAAAAAAAAACTATAATAAATGCAAGCAAATTAAATGAAAAGAGTTGAACAAAAAAGTAAGTAAGATAAAATTTAAAAATATAACAAAAAGTTAATAAAATAAA